TATGGGGAACCTGCTGAACTCGTAGTGTGGGATGCTTGACATTTTGGGGGACTTAGTGGGCTATTTCTCATTGCCTGCCTGTCTGATGCCTGTGATATTAAGCTGAATGGGAAAATTAAAAGAATGGCGCATTTGGCTGTGGAGAAGAAGACAGTGTCTTGAGGAGATGGGAAATGTCTCAAGTGTTGACGTGGGTCCTGAGAAACTGAACTGAGAAGGTGTGAATCAGTGTGTGTCATTTTGCTGATGTGCTGTTACAGCTCTCCGGCCCGGTTGCTCACTGTGCTTGCGAGGGAATTCTTCCTGTTCTCTGTGAGAAGCTGTGTGCAAAGTTTTTTCAGCCACGAGGGATCTCTTCTGCAGGATGGCAGTTCCCAAGGCATTGCCTTTGTCGTCATCCAGGAGCTCGGGATCAGCCCAGGAGGAAGACAGCCACCTTCTCGGTTCCTTTCCGAGCAGGGTGAGTTGGCTCTTGCCTTACAAAGGTGACAACATTCCTATGCAGCTCATTAAAGACATCTCTTCCACAGAAAGAAAAACCTGCTGGGCTTGATCCGTACTCCAGGAATATGGGAATTACCCAGAGGAGGAACAGTCTGTTCCCTGCAGAGATGCTGACGTCACAGGGGATGTCACTGAGCAGGCTGAGCGTCCCATCTGCTCTGTGCTAGTTTTGGTCATTAGAGTTGCAGCACAGCGCGGGTACAAGCTTGGATGCTGTCATTTACCCTCAAACTGCAGCTTCTCACCTCGGAATAGCACTGCAGCACCTGCTTGGTCAAAAGAAAATCAGCCCTATTGCTTGTAAGAGGTGTGGGAGAATTCTCTCCCATTCCACCCAAAGTCCAATTTTGAAATGTTGGAGTGTTGTTGCTTGTGAACAGAAAGGGTGAAGCATAGTTGTGTGTTTGGTCATCACCTCTTCTAATTGGCTCGCAGTGTTGCAATGGCCTTGTATATTAGATAGCTGTTGCTGGCTGTCCTCAGGTCATTTAGCTGAATTACTCAGTGATCCTCTAAATCCTCCTTCCAGCTGCATAGATTGGGCCAATGAAGGACCATCGCAAGCCTGCTAAAGGTAGATGTGACATCATTTTCTAATTGAAATAAAAAACCCATTCTAACTGGAATAGGCATTACCCTGTGCTTCGTACAAATGCTGTGGCTGGAGCACAGCAGGCTGCCAGTTAGCTGGAGGCAGCCACCCGGTCAGCCTGGGAACAGGGAGCTGGCGCAGATACCAGATATGTGTGGGCCTGAAGACCGTCCTGGTGCGTGTCTGTCTTTCTGAAATTGTATTTGTGCTAATCATCTTTGCAGATCCTGTGTTCTGCTCTGCCTTCTTGCATTGCTTTCCGATAAGCTTGTGTTGTGCTGTGCGGATGAGGTTGCTGAGAGCAGTTGTAAGCTGTAGGATGCAAGTGTATCCACACAGCTCCTTAGAGGGGAAGAGTGGGCTGGTGTTTCTCTTGTCACCAGTGCAGTAAGTAGGAGATGAAGATCCCTATGTAAAGATGGGGTAATTTACATAAATTCCTTCTTGTTCCTTCTGGCTAGAACAGCAGCACACCGGTTGCAATGGAGAACGCTTGGATGGAGTGCTTTGCTGGTTATTTAGTGTGTGTGGAAGTTGGATGCTGCCTGTTTCCTCAAAGCGCGGAGTGAAGAACTGATAGTGGGGGGGAAAGAATGCCATAAACAGAAAATGCTTTAGAGAAATGCAAGTGTTTGGTCAGCGGTGAAGGTTCATTAGTGTTTGCTGTCTGCAAAGCTACGAGAAGATTTTGTTCTGAGACTGAGTGAGGTCCTCTCCCCACTAGAGTATTATGTCTGGGCTGGTTTCTTTTTGTTGTTGTTTTTTAATAATTTTTTTCAGCTGGTTGAGAGGAAAAACCCCTCAGTATTAGCAGGCGGCTTTTCTCTTTTCTCTCCACTTTCTGTAACCTTCAGCACTGCCTGCGGCGCTCAGAAGCCCGGAGCTGGCAGGTTTCACTCCAGGACTCCTGCAGGCTTTGCTACCCCGCGGCGGTTTCTGAACGGCAAAAGCGCGTGACTGAATTTTTGCAGGGGCACGGCGTGGGTTCGGGCCATCTGCTGCTGCTGGCCGTGCTGCGGTCCCAGCCCGCAGGTTTAAAGCCGGCGGCGGGGGACGCCGGGCGCACGGCCGGCAAAGGCAGCGCCGCGGGGCGCAGGGCGGCGTTTGTCTGTTAGGGCGCCGGGCGGCGTTAGGGCGCCCCCTGCCGGCCGCGCTTGGAGCCGTCCTGCTGCACGGGGAAGCGGGGCTGCGCGGTGGAGGCGGCCGAGCTGCCAGCGCGCTGCGGGCGGGGGGTGTTCGGGTTGTGTCGTGCCTGTAATCGCATAACGTGACGTATCTCAGTATCTTAACGTCCAGTGGGTATCTACGTGTTGTTGGCTTATGGCACTTGGTTTCGTGGGATCCTTAGGGTTGGAAGGAGCCCTTAAAGGTCACATAGCCCAACTCCCCGTGATGAACAGCCAGCACGGCTAAGTCAGGTTGCGCAGGGCCTGTCTGCAGGGATGGGGCACCCACTGCGACCTGCGCCAGTGCCTCACCACCCTCACTGTAACAACCTTTTCCCTTATATCTTATCTAAATCTACCTTCTTGAAGCTTGGAACCATTTCTGCTTGTTGTATCACCACAGACCCTGCTGAAGAGTCCGTCCCTTTCTTACAACCCCTTTGGATACTGAGCTCTCCCCAGCCTTCTCTTCTCCCTGCTGCCCAGCCCCAGCTCTCAGCCTGCCCTCGCAAGGAGCTGCTGCATCCCATCGGGCATTTCTGTGGCCCCGGTTTCTTGAAAAGAAGAGCTGACATTGCAAACCTCTTGTTTAAACACAGATGATAAGAGGGGCCTGGAAACGTAAAGCTCGTGTTTAGTGGCTTTTTATCTTGAAAGTTCTACTGTGTGCTCTATATTTCAGGAACTTCTCAGAATAAGCTGCTTCTTGTTTTGCTGCGAGAGTGGGAACAGGATATTGTCACAGCACTTGCAGCTCTGAGCATGCTGAGCCGAAACACTGCGTGTGCTGATCTGCAGGGCTTGGCTCAGAGCTGCCCCTTCTTTGTAAATATCCTGTTTATGTAAACCTAACTCCTGACCTCTGGCTGTCTGCGTATCCTTTAATCACTTTACAAATAGCATCTTAAACAGCCAAATTTCTGCGCTGCAGACAAGCTTATGAGCTGGTTTTTCGTGACCTGTGTCTGTTGAACTCGGTGTAGTGAGGGCGTGGGCACCTGGAGGACTGGAAAGTCTTCTTTTCTCATCCCGTGCAGGGAGCTGGTACTGTCAGAGAAAAGGTGGGAAGGCAGGAGCTGGAGATGCTGGGTGTTTTATGGGTGTTTTATGGTCTGTCAGACTATACAGTGACATCTTCAGCAGGGAAATGAGATGCATGAAAGTAATGTGGAGATACTGCGGAACTCATGCTATGCAAGATGATATTGGTTATTTACAGGTAGAAAGTAGGGTTTCTGTGTGATCAAGCAGAAGCTTTGTTTCACTCTCCTCTATTTTGTTTCCTCATCTGGAAGAAATACCACTTACTGTCTGCATTAAGCATTAAGGGTTTCCTGTCTTGTCAGGCAGGAGTTTGAGAAGAGCAAGGAACACTGGGTTAGTTGGCTCGGGCACCTTCTGTGCCTGAGCAGCAGCTCATTTCCAAGGCCAGCTTTCCCTGTGGCATTTTCCTTCTGCAGAGAGTGCTTTTGCAGGTAAGCTTTCAGCTCAGCACGGCCCTGAGAGCAGAAGCTTTGTGTAAAACCCCTCTGAAGAGTAGAGGCTTATTTGTGGTCTCAGTGTAGCAAACAAAGCAGACTCTCCAGCTGCTCACCTGCAGAAACCAGCCCTGCTTCCCAGGCCTTTGTGTTAAGATAGGAGTTGATGAAAATGACTGTGCAGAAGATGATTGCTATCATTTATCCGGAGTCTACTGAGCTGTGTTTATTTGTTTTGTCTTTGTCTAGGAATTCAGTGTAATGCCCTTGAACAACATGTCTGAAATAAAACCTCAGGTGTGGCACAGTATTTCTGTGTTCACTTTCTCTGTCCTCTCAGTCAAAGAGCACTGCACTGACGTTATTTAAAAAAAAAAATCTTATAAGTAAGCTTATCAACAACAAAAACAGTTTGTCATCAAAGTGAAATCGCAGAAAGCCCAGGATGCTGGGCTTAGAACCCTCAGAGTCAGAAGGGACCCTTAAGGGACGTCTGGCCCAACTCCCTGCACTGAGCAGGGACACCACAGCTCCATCAGTGCTCTCAGCCCCTCCAGCCTGACCTTGGCTGTCTGCAGGGATGCAGCACCACCACCTCTCTGTGCAGCTGTGCCACTGCCTCACCACTCTTGCTGTGCAACACTTCTTCCTTATATCCAGTCTCAATCTCTCCTCGTTTAGCTTGAAGCCATTTCCCCTTGTCCTGTCACAACAGACCCTGCTGAAGAGTCTGTCCCCTTCTTTCTTACAGCCCCTTTGGATACCGACAGGCTTTTCTCAGCTCTCCCTGCAGCCTTCTCTTCTCCACCTGCACAGCCCCAGCTCTCAGCCTGTCCTCACAGCTGCTCCTTCCTCTCCCTGCTCCTTATTTTCTGACCCTCACAAAAACACTGGCATAAAAACACAGTGCAGGCCCCAAGGGTAGAAGGCTGTGGCCGGTCTTGAAGAGAAGGAAATCAACTCAAGCCTAGGGAGGGTAGATTTAGGTTGGATATAAGGAAAAAGTCTTTTACAGTGGGGGCGGTGAGGCACTGCTGTGTGTTGCCCAGTGATGGGGATCTTCAGTGCGAGGCTGAACCAGGCTCTGTGCGGCCCGGCCTGGCTGTGGCGTCCCTGTTCAGTGCAGGGATTCGGGCTAGAGGGCCCTCGGAGGCCGTTCCATCCCGAGCACTCGCGGTTCTCCCCACCGAGGCGGACGGGCAGCCCGAGCGCAGCAGCCAGGCCCGGCCCCGCCCCGCCCGCCGGCCCGGCCGCGCCTCGGGGGGCGGAGGTAGAACGGAGGGGCCGTTCCAGGAGCCGGCCGAGGATGGCGGCGGCTGCGTCTCCGGCTCGGGAGCTGACGCAGAACCCGCTGCAGAAGACGTGGGAGCCGTACGACAACGGGCTGCCGGCGGGGCACAGCGCGCAGCGCGGCGGTGAGCGGAGCGGGGCGGCTCCGGGCTCCGGGCTCGGGCGGGGCCGGCGGACAGCGGCTCGGAGCGGCGGCCTGGGCCCGCGTTGCTCCGGGCGGGGAGGAGGCTGGGGTCGGTTTCAGTCGCTCCGCTTCGCCTTAAAAACGCGCGTTTGTACCGAAGCGGGGCGGACCGAGGTTCGTCCCCGTGCCGCCTCCCCGAGCGGCGGCAACGCTGGGGACAAAAGGGGCTTTGTGTGCGAACGAGCCGCCGTGCCGCCTCGCCTCGGAGCCGCGCCGAAGAAGCGCGGCGCTGCCTGGGGAGCGGGGCGCGTCGTGCCGGAGCGCTGCGAGCGGCAGCATCGGGGCGGCTCGGTGGTGGCACTGCGCGTGGCAGGGAGCGGGTGGGTGAGAAGAAAAGGCCGAGAACGAAAGCGCGTCGTTGGTAATGTGGTGACGTGCGGAGTCTGCCGGGTGGAATTGTTCGCGTTGTAGTCGAGGAGCCGTTAATGAGAAAACGGGATTTGGATGTCGGCTTTCTTAACGCTGCTTTTTCTTGGGTCCGCTGTTGCGGTGAACGTGTGGTTCGTCTGGAGCCGTGTGTGAGCCCTAAAGGAGCTGTGAGGACGAAGGGACGGGCTGTGTAGCTCGGTCTGCAGTGATAGGACAAGGAAAAATGGCTTCAAACTTAAAGAGGGGGACTGTAGATTGGGTATGAGGAAGATTTTTATGCCAACGTGGTGAGGCAGTGGCACGGCTGCACAGAAAGGTGGTGGTGCTGCATCCCTGCAGACAGCCAAGGTCAGGCTGGAGGGGCTGAGAGCTCTGATGGAGCTGTGGTGTCCCTGCTCAGTTGGGCCGAATGGCCCTTAAGAATCCCTTCCAACTCAAACCATTCTGTGATGCCGTGATAATTGCAGACAGCCTGGAGAGGGGCAGGACTCGCTCTTCCGTGGCAAAAGCCACCTCTCTTGCTGCTGCACACTGAAAAGGCGTTGCGGCTTTTCCTGCACAGCGTGGCGCGCGGTTCTCTGATGAGCAGTGGGACCTGTGTGCCCGGCACTGAGCTGCAGGACCGCCCCAGCAGGGAGGTGTGGGGACAGTGCCGGGCTGGCCAACTCCAGCCCTCTGCTGCTGCAGGTCCCTGTGTTCAGTGAGGTGCTGCAGGAGCTGCCAGCCCGAGCCTGAGGTGGGTTTCCTGTACTCAGGAGCAGCTTTCCAGGGGAGATGCTGAAGCTAGTTGTTCTGACATCTTCTAAATTTCTAGGCTTAAGCATGATAAACTCTTAAAGTTCTGTTTTGGTTGGGTTTTTAGTTCATCATTCCAGCTAATTACAATTATCTGCATTTGTTAGTCTTCCTTTATCTTTCTAGGAGGTGGCAGAGCAGAGTTGTGCCCAATTCTGTGGAGGACACAGCAGAGCTGTGTACGAAGGGACTGACCTACGCTAAGTATTCTTTCAGTGATTTTCTGAGAGTTGTAATGCCTGTAATTACCTGAGGAGGAAGAAACCTGGCCAGGTGTGTCTGGGTTGTAGCTGTCACAGCTTGGAAGTGCTGGTTTTTTTTTTGGTCTGAGTATTTCGAGGTCTTTGAGTTCTGAGTGCACGTAGCACACCCAGCAGACTGCACTCTTACAGCTGGTGAGACCAGGCAGGCAGAGGGAAAAGTGCTCCAAAGGATCAACCCAGGTAATACTTGGAGGTGGAGGAGGTGTTCATTCTTACTGATAGCTGCCTCTTAACTTCTGTGGTCTCAGCATCAGCTGTCAGATTGTGACAAGCTTGATGAATGAGCTACAAGCAAAGTATGTTATAAATAACAGCAAAGTATGCTACAGCAAAAGTTGCAGAGGATGTTCATAGAGCAGTAGATAAGCACTGAGTTCCTGTGGTTTAGAGATCATTCCCCCCAACTGCAGTTTGTAGCTTTTGTTTCCCCAGAACTGGAATTTGGTCGTTCTCGTGAGTTTTATTTGCTGTTCGAACAGCAGAGTGAATGTACCTCAGGTCCAGAAAGAAAAGAGGAGCATCAAATGAAAGCTGCCTTTCATCAGAGCTGGCAATGCTTCTATGTATCTGTAGTCCCAGTCCTAGGAGCTGAAGGTAGAAAACATGAGTGAGGTGAGGACAACACATGGCTGAAGCTGAGGGTCAGGCTGTGCAGTGGGGCCATCACTGGCAGCATCGAAGCTGCAGGAAGCAGATGTTGGCCCACAGCAGGCAAGTGGTGGCACGAGGCCAGAGGACAAATAGGAATCCCTCATATCAAAGTGGTGCTGGAAACTGGGATTTTGAGAAAAGAGAGGAGAAACAAATGGAAGATGATGGACATCTTCTGGTAGTGGAGTGAGGAACTTCGCCTTGCAAGATGCAGAGAAGAATGACTATTGTTATTGATCAGCAGGGAAAAGATGAATTAGTAATAGTCAAATTGAGTAGCAGATATGGGGAAATACGTATGGCTAATGTGGTTTGAAAGGGTGTTTCTGTTGACATACAGCTAAAGATAGTTGTATGTGAGCCTCTGAATTGTACAGAAGTTTCAGGGTACAGGCCTTGAGCTGAGCTCCACTGAAACAGCAGGAATCTTTCAATAAACTTGATGGCTGCAGCAGCTTTGTACAAAAGTCCTTCTTGCCATACATGTTGTCTTGAATAATTAGCAGGAATGATGGGAAGAAGTCTCATTTTAGGTGAAAAAGGACAATTGATAATCCAATAGGCAGTAGCTGAACTTCTAAAAAAATCACCTCTGCCTCTGATTTCATAAGGTGCAGATTTGGAAGGCTAATGAAATTCTGGGCAGTGTCCCATTTAAGTTTCAAAACCACCTTCTGTGTCTTGCATTATTTCACAATGCAGTCTTAAGAGGCAGCAAGAAACGAGCGTGCAGTTTCTTTTTTCCTTAACTGTTACGTGTTAAACATCGTAGTGGTGGCAGCTGTAATTTTACCCTGAGATGCATCCTGCTGTATGTATTTAATTAATTTATTTTTTAACGGAGATAACGGCTTTGCTTAAATTGTGATACTTGATTTTAATGTGCTGTCTCACATGTTTTAACATGTTGTCGCCTGGCCTCTGTCCTTTTGGAGCGGTGCTTTCTGTGTGCTTTTTTTCTTGGAGTGTGAGGATGCGAGGTGTGTCTCCGCAACTTGCACTTCCATGACTGCTTTCCTGCTGTAAGTTCTGTTTAGGTGGGGCAGGCGGTGGTGAGTTGCTGTACAGAGGGAAGGAAGGTGTTGTGCCACTGGTAAAAGGGTTAAACTTGAGAGGCTTTCTTTATTTCGGAAGCTGGAAGCTGCCAGTGTGGTGGCTTTTTTGTTTGGCTGGTTTTGTGTTTTTTAATCAGTTCACATCCTGGTGTCAGGCATTTCCCTGGAGGCATTCAAGGCCAGGCTGGACGTGGCTCTGGGCTGCCTGGTTGGTTGGTGATCCTGCACGTAGCAGGGGCTTGAAACGACGCAATCATTGTGGGCCTTTTCAACCCAGGGCACTCCATTCCTCTGTGATTTCTTCAGAGGAATCTGTAAGTCTTGAGATGCTGACGCTTCAAACGCTGTCGTTTGCTGGGCATTCCTTACCACTTGCAGTGTTGGCAGCATCTCACTGGGAGAGCAGCTGCCCAAATACCATGGGAAATATTTGCTTTATTTTTAACTTTTTGCTATTTGCTGCATCGTTACAATCTAAATATTGCTTGGCTTGTTTTACAAAGCGAACGAGCTACGTACAGCCTTTCAGTGTGTCAGCTGAAGAAAGCAAAGACCAGCATTTGCTGTGCTGAGTCTTGCCTGTGTTGGTTGGAAGGCTACAAAAGAAATAAGATGTTGCTTTGTGTGCTTCTGTTAGCACATTGCTGGCAGTCCCTCCCCAAAGAGGAGGTGCAGGCTCAGCAGCGTGGTGGCTCACAGAGCAGGAGTGCCCCTGCCTTGGCTGGCAGGTTGTGTTGCTCTGCTTGCACTTGGGGTGCAGCGTTGGACTCTGATCCTGCTGAGTCCCTTCCCTTGGGCACTCCGTGGTGGAGCACAGCCCCGTGTTGGCAGCAGGATGGGAGCTCAGTGAGAGGCAGCTCTGAGCGGCCATTTGCTCGCCTTGTTTTTGTGAAGTTGAGTTTTGCTCCACTCTGGGCCCATCGTTACGTTACCAAAAAGCCAGATGTTCTGTGAGATGGCTAAGTTGGTGTCATCACAGGGAGAGGAGAATGGAGGCAGTCTGGACATGCTGTCCTGTGGGAAACTGTGCTTTGTGTGAGTGAAGTTGCCTACTTGAGTCACACAGATCCCTTGGAGAGCAAGGGGACCCAAGGCAGTGTGCGGAACCTTTCCATGCAGGTTCTTCTTCATTGCTGCTTCTGCAACTCTTATTTCCCTGCTTACCCTGGAAGATGGTTTAAAACTCAAGGTGGCTATATCAGATGAAGGGCCTTTCAAATTGGCTACAAGGAACAATGGAACAATGTCCAGCAGGGACAGAGAGGTGATTGTTCCCCTCTACTCTGCTCTTGTGAGGCCCCGTCTGCAGCACTGCGTCCAAGTCTGGAGCCCCCAGTACAGAAAAGACAGGGAGCTGTTGGAGAGGGTCCAGAGGAGCCACAAAGATGATCAGGGGACTGGAGCAGCTCCCCTATGAGGACAGGCTGAGGGAGCTGGGCTTGTTCAGCATGGAGAAAAGAAGGCTGCGGGGTGACCTCATTGCAGCCTTTCAGTACCTAAAGGGAGCCTACAAACAGGAGGGGAATCAACTCTTTGAAAGGGTAGATAACTGCAGGACAAGGGGAAATGGTTTGAAGTTGAGGGAGGGAAGATTTGGGTTGGATGTCAGGGGGAAGTTGTTTGCTATGAGAGTGGTGAGGTACTGGAACAGCTGCCCAGAGAGGCTGTGGATGCCCCATCCATCCCTGGAGGTGTTCAAGGCCAGGTTGGATGGGGCCTGGGCAGCCTGGTCTAGCATGAGGTGGGATGGTTGGTGGCCCTGCGTGTGGCAGGGGGTTGGAGATTCATGATCCTTGGCAGTTCTGTGATTCTGTGTTCTCGCATTTCGTGATTTTATTTTTTTGCTCTTAAAACCAACAGAGCCATTAAACTCAGTGAGTTCTGTCCTCTTTGTGCCTCTCAGACTTTGTTTCCCTGCAGCCTGCTTGCTTTCTTCCAACTGAGGAACAGAGTGGAAGATGGACAAGAAAACACGGTCCTTCTTGTTAGCAGTGCAGGAGAGCTGACTTTGAGGGCTTTTATCAGTTTTTCTGGACCCTTGCATCTGCATGAGTGGTTCTGGTTTAGTTTGCACTCCGTCACGTTCAGTGCATGGAGCAGCAGTCTCTTTAATGGATTTGAGGTTTGGTGCAGCTTTTGCTCTCTCTCTCCCCCTTGAGAAGTGATCTATAGTTTTATCTTTTTTTTTTTTTTTTTTTTTTTAGTTGCAATTTTAAGAAAGCACATCTATCTTTGCTGATCTGTTTGTTCTTATCTGATGGGTTTGTTGCCCAAGATTCATGCATATAACATAGTGGGATGGGGCCCAGCCCAGGCTTTGGGAATCACAGGCAATCACAGCACAACAACGTGATCACCAGCATGGCGTTTTGGTTGGTGGTTTAGAACAAGCTGACTCTGCTATCAGGGGATGGAGGAAAGTGATGATATGTGGATTGTGGTAGGCGAGTTAATTGCGAGTTAATTGATGGGGAACCTGTGAACTTCAATATCTTTACTGTGTTCTTTCTTTTTAGGCTGTTCCTTGTATCAGTGATAGATTCATGCAAGGTATCCATAGTTTTGTACTGTTAGAGTGTTCAAAAAACTTGTCATGTGAAAGGAACGCTTCAAGGTGTTCAGACTGCAGCTGTAAATTTCTCCACCTTTGGATGCTGTTTTTATTTTTCTAATTAAAAACTCTGCCTTTGATTTGTCCATATCTATGCATCAGACTATTGTGCTGAATTGCCCGGGATACTTGTACTCCATGCCTTCTGTCAAGCAACCAAGGCATTGAAATGGGGCTGTCATTGATGGTGTTTAGAGGGAAAGCTTACGCAGCACTGAGATGCTGTCAGGGATTTACAGACAGTGTAACACCTTGCTGTTTCCTTTCAATGCAAGCACTGGGCTGAGGTGGACAGGGCTGTTAGACATCAGTGACCTTTTTGCTGTGGTTGTTTTTGTGTGTCTTGAGACATGGATGCAAATACATGGGTTTCTCACCTACTGCCCGTATGCAGCTCACGTGTCAGCATTGCACTGCCACTGTTCTGCCCTTCTGAAATTGCACTCAGCCCGCGAACCTCAGTCACTGTGCTGCTGAGAAAATCCCCTGAAAGAGGGGAACGTTGTGCATGAGCTGCTTGAACAGTCACTGCCTTGGAGAGCACACGGAGTTGTCATTTTCCACTGCCACGTGAGCCTTTGTTTTGGGGAAATAAACTGGTAAATAACCCCTATTTGGTTTTGTCTTTCAGTATGTATGACCAACTGCCCTACACTGATTGTCATGGTGGGTCTGCCAGCAAGAGGAAAAACCTACATCTCAAAAAAGCTGACACGCTATTTAAATTGGATTGGAGTGCCTACGAAAGGTGATGGACTTAATTTTGTTTGCAGAGCTGAGGTTCAGTGTTTTATCGGCCTGATTCCCAATGATTTTATAGCCTGATGTGACTGTTGGCTACTTGGACTCCTGCTTTGTTACTGTGTTTGTTTATTTTTACAGCCCTGTCATACACAGATTGACTGTTCTGATGTTTGTTGATCGTATTCTGGTGGCTGTTCCTTTACCTCCATGCTGTAACAGATGGCTAAACCAACTTTGCCCTTATCCTTGGCTCTTAGGTTCTTCAGCTGCCTTATTTTTTCTCCTTCTCTGCACTGGGCTGAAAAGGAAGCACCTTTGTGAGCAGAGCAGCAGTCAGCACTTCTGGGTTAAAGTTCTGGCTTCTCCATTTCCTTTGTGAACTTTGTGCAGTGTGTAACCTATATGTAATGTTGTTTAATTGTGTTTGTGGAATGGATCTCAGCTCTGTCTTTGGGCGTTACGACCCCGTGGAACACAGCTGGCCACTTGTTACCACTCTGAAGGGATTTCTACATGTGTGTGGGGAGGAGAGGCTCAGCCTGGTTTGCCAGGAGTGTGTTTCATTCCTGAGCACTTGTGGTGTCTTGCAGGCCCAGATTGATGAGCAAACAAGACCTCAATCCATTTGAGGTTCTGAGCAGCAGTCTGTCCTTGCTTTCTTTGTATGTGTGTAGAAGACAATGATGTGTTTTAGTGTCCTGTGCAGAAATGGTGGCTTTACAGTTATGGTAGTCAGTCATTTAAATAACACGGAATGTAGGAGGGTGTTCTGAAGAACAGACAGCTGGCTGTTCAGAGGTGTTTCTGTGTTGTCCTGAGAAGTCCAGATGAAGAGCTGTGTTTAAATTGCTGTTGGGTTGTAGGACGTGGATTTTGGAGTTAATGCTTTCCTAAATTCTTAGAAAGTTATCTGATGTGTTTTGTTTAATGGAGACATCGTGGAGAAGGTTATGTTACTGGAGTGTGGGAGTCTACAGAATTCTTCTGATCACTGCTAGTAAGTTCTGTCTTGTCACACTGGTGCACCCTTCTGATGTGGCAGTATCCAATTTTTAGGGACTTGAGTTTTGTCCATTAGGCTGCCCATTGAATAGAGCTCTAAAGGTGTTAGCCGATATCCAAGCTGATTTAAATGCATGTTAGGTGTGTACATGCACATTTGTTCAATTTACATGTCATGTGTTTACGTCACAGTGTTGAGCAGTCAGCTTTGTGAACTCTGCAAAGCAGAACTGTAGTACTGAATGGTGAAACACTGCCCGCATCTGACTTGTGGTTGGTTGAATTTATCCTGAATACAGTAAGACAAGAAGTGGTGCCATGCTTCAGGCACATCAGCACATCAGATGTTTGTGCCTGTGCTTAACGAGCAGTAGTTACAGCATGCTGCCTCATTTTACAGAAGTATACAACATGAAATTATCTGGGCTTCCATCGGAGGCTGCTGCTGCTGCTTTGCTTTTGTTAGACGACTTGGGACTTTCGTAGAAACCACAGACCTTTGCTGTTTGTGTCGTCAGTGATGTAGTTGTACTGAAGCTGAGGTCGATTTAAGATGCCTCCCTGCTGGACTGGATGACACGCTGCCGCCTGCCTCCAGTTGTTGGGACTCAGTAAGTGGTATGTGGTAACTATTCCTAACATCTGTTAGCTGTGGCTCTTAATGCCCTGAAATTAGCATGTACTTAACACAGTGAGCATCCTTATCCTCTGAGACAGATGGTTAAAACTATTAGTTTATGTAAAGCAGAGGAAAGACAAATGGTGTCTTTTCACATAATGGACTTTAGGCACGATGGGGAGTTGAAGACCAGAAGGTGGAGGTAAATAGCCCCGGGTTTTGCTGTTTGAATATTTGAATCATTTATGCCGTTTGAATCCTTTAAGCCATCGGTTCTGGTTTCTGTCTTTTGTTCCTTCCGAAATCCTTTGTCGGTAAGAACTTGAAATGCTTAAAACTACAAAGGGCTTTTGTCTGGGCCCTGTAAGGAAACGAGGTCAGGTATCTGCCTGAACAGGGCTGTCTTTCACTGTGATTTTTGGATGCTACCCTTTGGCAAGCCTTGTGGAATGGTTTTGGCTGTGAGGTTGTGATGGCAGATATGCTGTAAAACTTCTCCCCTGAGGTGGATGCTGGTGCTAAGGACCAATGGTTGTGGTGCTGGGTAGCTGTTCTTTGCTGTGCATTACATTCCTGCAGTAGTTGTTTTTTGATACCAGGTGGTTTATTTTTGTTGTTGTATAGGGCCGTGGCAACACTGGCTGTCTGAACTCACATCTCCTGTGTTTCTTACAAGGACTTACCAGCTCCAAGACAAAGTATGGCCAATGTTCATTGAGTCTGTGACAGAACAACCTGGTTTGTTCTGTCATCCCTGTCATCATCAACGCTGTGGAATTCAAACAAAACTTCCCTTTTGGAAGGGGATAAATAACGTTTATTTCTTTGTCCTCCATGCCCTGCCATCCAAACAGCAGTGTGTAAGCTTCTGTTAGGAAAATTTCAGGTTGAGCTCTTTCATCCTGTGCCTTCCTTGTTCTTCGTTACATCCCAGTAATGATGTCTGCCATTTCTTTTCCTCCGTGCAGAAATAAGGTCTGGCAAATACTGATGCCCTGACAGCTCCTCAAACAGAGTACTTGTTTATCTAATGTTAAACAAAACCGCTTTGCAGTTCAGCAGAGAAAACCTATAGGTCAGAAAACAAGTTAAACATTAATTGCACTCCAGAGACCCGCTTTAAGAGCTGTTGAATGAAGTTAATGAGGGTACAGTGTCACTGCCTGCTGTGTGACAAAACAGGACTGCCTTGCCCTAATCCCACCTCTGATACTGAGACCCACACGGACCTTGGCCCAGATAAGGAGTAGCTTTTGTTGACCACTGTTAGCAGATTGTAGTAAGATAAAAGGAGCAGGAGTTCCTGGGAAATGGGTATAGTGATCCTTAAGGAGCAGAGCTGTTTGAAGGGGTTCTTAAACGAACAAACGAAAAAGCCCAACAGAAATGATGTGTGATGTGTCACCTTGATACGTGCTGGATTATTTTGTGCTTGGAGGTAGTTTGGTTTCAAAGCTGTCGTAACGTTGATCCTTGTCATCCTGTGTTTCTGTTAGCTCCCACTAACACTGCTCTCTTCTCTGCAGAATTCAATGTTGGCCAGTATCGTCGAGATCTGGTGAAGAAGTATAAATCTTTTGAATTCTTCCTGCCTGACAATGAAGAAGGGTTGAAAATCAGGAAGTAAGTTTGGAGCGTGTTTGTGCACAGCTGGCTGTACTGAAATGGCACCCTGTGTGGTTTCTCTTGGGGACTGCTTTTAGCTTAACTTTTATATACTGAAGAAGACATAGATGTAATAGAGAAGGAAGAGTACTTTAGAAAAGATGGAAATATGATTTCTTTAGGCTACTTAATAATTGGGTTATTATTTTTCATAATTGCTTCGGCTGAAGCATCAAAATATGGAGTAGAAAAATACTGAATGTGATTCTTTTTGCCTTTTGGGCAGGCTTTTGTTTAAACAGATATTCCTGCAAATTTTCACCCAAAACCAAAGGAGAATATTCTTATTATTTTCTTTGTGTAAAATACCAGCTATTGGACATGACCTTTCTGCTGCCTGATTTCATGTAATGCTGTTTCAGAGCTTTTGTGAGGATCACAAAGAAAAAAAATCACATTGTTTCTTTTCTTTCGGGTTTGCACATCATCATTTTTTTGCCTGCATGTTGGTCATTGTCCATTCAAGGAATGGCACACAAGTATTCTCTCCCTGAGGTTTTCTTCTTGGTTACCAAATGTGTGCATCGTGTGCTTGACCAGCACGGTGCCTCAGCGAGTGCCATGCTTTGCTGTTCTAATACTGTGCAGAGCACAGTGAGCCAGGTGTGGACATCTGTGCCAGACAAAGCATGTGGGACACCTTGTTGCATGGAAAGTCTCTGTTCTTCAGCTTAGAGAAAAGACCTGTGGAAGAAATGGCAGATGGAGAGAAGGTCAGGGCGAGAGGGAGCTGCCCCTGTTATGGAATATCCACCAGGATGATTTTTCAGTTTTCTTCATTGTTTGTTTTTCTGTGCATTTAAGAGACTACAGCATGAAATGACAAAGAAAAGAAGTCCTCGAGGAATGGAAATAGCCTTTGTTCAGACTGCTTAAAATACAGTGTGTTTTGTTCTTAATGGCTTTGGCTCAAGCAACAGAAATGTCTGAACTTTCTTTTGTGGCTCCCCTTTGCTTGTCCTTGTTCTCTTACCCCCCTCTTCCGCTCCAGCAGCATTTGAGGACTGCTTACTGCTGAAGGAGAACAACTTGCATAAAAGCCTCCAGACTGCTGGGGACCAAAGTGTAGCTGAGCAGTGCATTAGCCTTGCAAGCCCCTGCCTTTTGCTTAGAGGTAGAACAAAACCTTTCGTGTGCCTCCATGTCACCTGCTAGACTGAATGGTGGAGAACAGAACGTGAAATGGACTGTGTGAGCTGATCTGCTTTGTCAGCAGTGAGTTTATATTTATTTAGTGAAGGTTTGACGACGAATCTCGGTTCCTGACATCTGTTAACCATGCTAATGTGGAAATCCTGTCAGGGCTGAAGCACTTTAAGATAAAGCTGTGCATGCAGAATGTCATCTGGGAGAGTGATGCATTTCAGTCTGGAAGTCGAAATAGAGTACAGGTGCATAGAAGAGCTGTTGAAATGGGGCAGATTCTTAGGTTGGCACTTCAAAAAGATTGTAGTTTGGTTTTTTTTTTAAAAGGGCTGTGCTCTGTGCATGAGTAAATAGTGCACAGTGCTAACGTTGCTGCGCAGTATTATTTGTGTGTTAGAAATCATAATAAACTTCAGAAATAACACTGGCACTGGGGACATAGGGAAGCTGTGAATGAGTTTATCCTTGTCCAGGTCTCACACAAGTGCAGGGTGCTGGCACTGGAGTTCTGTGCTGTTCGTGTCCATGACAGTCTCCAGCACAGATCAGGTTGGGTTGGTGCTTGCAGTGGGGTTTCTATTTTCTCTGCAAGGCACTGACTTTGTTTCACTCTTTTTTTTCAGACAGATTTTTTTGATATACACAATTGTGACACAGTAAGTAAGAGAGAAGTAGGTTACTGACAAATCATAGGATCACCAAGGTTGGAAAGGTCAGGGCCTCAAGATAAATGGCTGAAGTTGATTTATTTTTCTCTCTTTTTGAGAATCAGATGAGGAAGCTGCTCTGTGTTGGTCCCATCGGTGTCCTAGAGGAGCAGTGCTTTCTTTAGGCAGATGACCACAGCCATCTATCCTCTCTTAGCTTGCTTCACCTCTCTTCATGTTCCCCTGATTTTTTCCCATGTTTCTCGGGGTGATGATTGGCAGTACGTGCTTTAAGAGAGGTGAGCTAACATTTCCAGGTCACTTTGATCACAAGGTGGAAGTGCATTCATAAGATGACTTTTCCTGGCATTTGTGATTCCTTCTCTTTCATTTTTAAGACAGTGTGCCTTAGCGGCGCTGAACGACGTCCGGCAGTACCTCAGCGAAGAGAACGGGCACGTGGCTGTAAGTGTCTTGATGGAGATGAATTCTTAACTGTTTCTCTACAAAACAGGATCTGTCCCTGGGCGACGTGCAGTGAGTTATTCCGGTTTCTCTGTGGTCGATCAGATTTTCTTCTGTGATGACCGTGTGTTAAATCTGCTGTGTTGCTGCGGTGAAAGGAGCGCTGAAGTTGAGGGTGATGATTACACTGTGTGATCACATCTGACGTGTGAGGGGTTAACAGGGTACAGGATTTTACAAAGAGAATCATTTCCCTTCTCCACCCCGTGTAACATACTGCTAAACACTGGGGTTTTTTTGGCTGGATTTCTTTTTTTTAATTTGGTAGTGTTTCGAGTGAAAAGATTTATGGAGCAGAAGCACCCTCGATATTGCTTGGCTGTTGTGTTATTGATAGCAGAGCAATCTCTGAAGACAGCAAGAAAAACTCAGGGTGCATCATGGTGTATCTGAGTATGTGATGACAAATGCAAAGTGCAAGGTCATCTTTACCCTGTGGTGTAGTGAAATGCTGCTGTGTTCAGAGCTAAAGTTGTTTTTCTAGGAAAAATTGCTACACACTTCTTTTCAACTAACAGGCAGGGTTTAGTGGTCTTGCAGGTGTTCTGCTGATAGTTTTACCCTACCATTTTCAGTAACACTGATTTCAGCATCTTTCTGTCTGTACTGCAGGGTTGGTACAAAACTAATGCTGATATAGGCCAGGAGATTCTGTCCTGTGTCTGTGTCTGACTGTCTGACCACAGACTGCAAATTCAGAGATGTCCTTCTGTGTATTGCATGGAAATGTAACACATCCATTTGGGATCTAATCTGGTCAGACTGAGCACAACCTCAGATCAGATGCTGAGTTTCTTTTTATGGTTGTTTAGGTTTATTTATTTCCAGGGAATGGCAGTGTCTTGACTTAAAAGGCAGTGCATTGGAGGAAACGGGAAGAGTTTTCGTGGCTTTCCTTCAAGCTGAGAGACTTGGAACTCCTGTATTTATTGTCCCTGACACAGTGCTTTCCACAGGCTGTCATGCTTTGTTAATTCCTCTCTCTGTAACTGCTTCCAGGTCTTTGATGCTACGAACACAACTCGAGAACGCAGAGAAACCATTTACAAATTCGGTGAAGAAAATGGATACAAGGTGAGTCAAAAGCAGAAGAGCTCTGAGCTATGCCTGGCCAAGCAGGGCAGTGCCATTTTGCTCCCCTTGCCTTGTCTGTACTGAGTTAACAAGTGTACCAGGGCAAGCAGCTGTTGCTAGGTGCACAGTCAGTGGTGTGTTTTGTGTCCTTGAGCGTTGTTTGTGACACAAAGTCACCCCATCTTCATTTTTCTTATCCTTAATGTTGCAGTGTTAGGAACTAATCTCTGTAATGCTTTGCTTATGTCATTCTGGATGTGTAATTCTCAGCCTGCTGTTAGCAAAAACTATTTAAATGGTGGTTTTTAGTGCAGGGTCAGATTTTTCCTGCAGAAACACGTAAGGAAATGTGTGTAAACCAAAGGCTTTCAGCTTTCTGCCTTCTGTCCAGGGTTGCTTTTTGTTTAGCTGTTCTCCAATAACCTTCCCTCTGCTCTAACTTTGCATCTCCCTATGCCTTTAACGCAGCCAAACAAACCTCGTGAGGCTGCTCCATTACTTGAAATGCTCCTACTTTATTCTTTCAGAAGCATTAGTTAATTTTTTGCACGGCTGAGTCTGCATTCTCCCCATTTATTTCTCACTCTTTCATCCTAATTTTTTTTCATTCCAAAATTGTTCCACATTGTTTTGGAAAACAGTGTAAAGCACCATGCTTCAGGGAACAGCAAGCCAGCAGTTTTTGCTGGGTAGGTCTGGAGAAATGGGATGCTTGAGTGAGTGAAGGGAAGTGTAAGGCAGGCTCTGTTAGAAAAGGTTAGCATGGAGCTGCTCAGACTGCTGACTGTGCGTGTTGGTGTCCAGAGGCATTTCAATTCAGCTGCTTTCTTCCTTCTTTCTGTTCATGTGGCTTCCTGTTGGGATTGAAGACGTTTTTTGTTGAGTCAGTGTGTGTCGATCCAGAGGTCATTGCTGCAAACATTGTGGTGAGTACAGGAAAGTTGGCTTTGACTTCCTGAAATCACGAGATTGTAGAATATTTCAGTATTTTTAGAGGCACATTATGAGAACTTCCAATAGTGAAAACCATTACTTGCTATTAATGGAACAGTTTGCCTTTATTTTCTCATCCACACGTTTAACTCAAAAGTTAAATTCTTTAAAAATTAGCGCTTAATTTGAATACATATAAAGCAGTATCTGCAGAAAAGGAGCTTTTGTGTTGCATTCCTCCTTCCCCCCATTTGTTTAAGCTTACATTAAAAAAGGAAGGTAACCCATGCACTGCTCTCTCGTTTTTGTTTTGAACAGCAAGTGAAGCTGGGTAGTCCTGACTACGTTGATTGTAGTAACGATGAAGCAACAGAAGACTTCATGAAAAGAATAGAGTGCTACAAGAACTCTTATGAGACATTAGATGAAAATCTTGACAAGTAAGTGCTGCAGTGATCACAGCTGGGTTATGAAGTTGTTTCATTAGGGGATGGGCGATCCTGTGTTGGGGTTGAAGGCTTTCTGGCCATGGTTTTCATAGCCTGAGCTCTGTTTGTGCTGGTAAACCAGAGATAGTTGAGGTGCAGTCTGGAAGCTTGCATGAGGGATAACTGCCTTACGATTTTATTCTGGGACGGTGCTCCTCCTGATTTTTCTACATGGACAATGGTGTGATTCTTCTGGGGTAGAGCCAACGCTTTCTAAATTGTTCCAGATGAGCCGTAGTGATTTTTTGTTATTGTTGTTGGTTTTTGTTTTGTTTAGTTTTTGGGTTTTTTTTAATGGACAGGGAGACCTGATCAATTTGTAAACAGAAATTAATTTGTTGATGTGGGGAGGATATGTTCTTATCGCATCAGTCTTAACGATGTGACTTCTTAATTAATTTACCTTTGCAAATAATCCTGCACGTGTAGGTCCATGAGAAGCTTTCATACCTGGATCATTTGCTTTCTTGCCAAAGCACTGAATTGTTTTTCATTAACTTTTGGTAACTGAAAGTGAGGTAGGGATGAATCAAGTGAGAAGGAACCAGGATTTCATTCTGAACTGCACTCATATCAGGGCTCCTCGTTTGTTTCAGGTTCAGGGCTATAAAGAAGGCTGAGCTACGTTTTAATGTAATTGAGTGTAAACAATATAAAGCTGATGCAGTCAGGTCAGCTCATGCATGAAATATCTGTGATGGACCTGGTGGTTGTACCCATGTGGAACAGCAATGATTAACTTCACAGAATGCAGCTGAAGATGAGGTGATGGTACCTGCTTCTCATCACCTCCATTTGGCTTTATTATAAATTGTCTTGTTTTATTATGGTGCCTGAAGAAAATGGTGGTTATTTTCAGTTTGTTAGGCTTTTATTGTCCTTTATAGATGCTGCTCTGAGATGAGAAAGAATAAGGAGGAGTGAAAACTGAAATTATAACCTCTGTGATGCAGGGAGAGTAGAATTCATCTCTTGTTTCCAGATGACTACTTTGTTTCTGTCACCATTTGAGGATTGGCCTGTGATACTAATGGTTATTCCAGGGGTAATTGAGGGTTTGTCTGTTGCTGTGGCTCATTGCCCCTTTGTTTTATTCTACTAGAAGCTACGTGGGATCTTATTTTATCTTTTTGTTGTTGTTTGCTCATGAAAGGGATCTTTCCTACATTAAAATTATGGATGTTGGAAGGAGTTACCTTGTGAACAGAGTCATGGATCACATCCAGAGCCGAATTGTCTACTACCTCATGAATATCCACGTGACTCCTCGGTCGATCTACCTCTGTCGACATGGAGAAAGTGAACTCAACCTGAAGGGGAGAATAGGAGGGGATCCTGGACTGTCTGTCAGGGGGAAAGAAGTAAGTCAGTCCCTCCAGAACAAGCATGGCTTTGGGTTTTATTCACATCTGTGCACGTGTGTGTAGTTTGTGCTGCATTATTGCAGCTTTTTGCCTCTACATCCTTTCACTCTTCATGTCTTAAAGGATTTCTTAGCTGTGCACGTGGGTAGTGGGAACTGAATGGACACACTTTGTGTGTTGTGCTTGGGTAGGAGCCCTTTTGTTATTGACTGAAATTTCTGTTTATCCTAGAGTACAAAGCAGTTGTCAGGGAGGCTTTAATTTTAATGTAGTTTTGTAAAATCCCACCTTGTTGGCTGACCTGTAAAGCTCACAAGTTGAAAGTGAAGGAAGAATTCCTAAAGATGGAAGTGGGAATGGCAGAATACATGACTTCCTTTTACTCCTCTCCTTCCCTCCAAGTTCCCCTTGGCTTAACAGAGCATGCTTTTAGCAAAAGCCTTGACAGAGCCCTGTGGCAAAGTTATAATGAGTTTGCAGAGGCTGAAGCTTGTGGTTTCCAGTTTGACACAGTATGTTGCTTCTGAGCCCTCATCCAATGTCTCATGGCTTTTCTTTCAGTTTGCCAAGAGCTTGGCACAGTTTATTAATGAGCAAAACATCAAGGATCTGAAGGTTTGGACCAGTCAGATGAAAAGGACGATTCAAACTGCTGAAGCTTTGGGAGTGCCTTATGAGCAGTGGAAGGTTTTGAATGAGATAGATGCAGTAAGTTGTTTTCTGAATGTCTGAAAGGTTGCTTTGTTTGCTAGGGATGTGGGAAACATCATCTGGTAATGGTATGTCTTTTAGTGATAAAAAGTCAACTGAGCGGTGGATCTGGTCGCTAGAAAACTGTGATTCATTCCTGTTCAATGTTTCATTGAAATTTAAGAATCGTCATAGTTTTGGTTTGTCTTTCCCAGTAAGCCATTCCTCAGGAGAAGAAACAATGCCAAGAAATTGTTATTAGTAGGTGGGGGTTGGAGGGGAGAGGAAAAAAAGCATTGTTAGTTGGCAGTACCCAGCTGCACCTGTAGCACACAGAGCTGCTGTGGGTAACACAGCTCACCTGGTGGCCTTGCTTGCCAATGTATGTAGCTTCACTCCTGGTGACTTAATGATTCATGCAGTAATTCAGTGATTGATTCCACCAGTGTCTGGGTCCAGCTGAGTGTCCTGTTCATTGTGCCTAAAGATTCTCTCTCTTAAGGGTCAGAGAGAAAAAAAATAATGTGTTAAATTATATTTACACATGATTTTACTGTTAAGTGATGTCTGCTTTTTTTGCACTGTTGGGAATGGGCACATTGTCATTACTTTTGTTACCTGTAGGGAGTGTGTGAAGAAATGACATATGAAGAAATACAGGAAAATTACCCTCTTGAGTTTGCACTGAGAGACCAAGACAAATACAGATACAGATACCCTAAAGGAGAGGTATGCTGCTTTTTTCTCCCAAGGTGGCTGACTTCCTCATCATCTCTAATGCAGGCATGCTGACTTCATTAAAGCATTTTTCTTTCCTAAAAAAGTTGTGTCTCCTCCAGTGGAAGGCATGTAGGAGCATTTAAGGACTGATTCCAGCAGCTTGGTATAATGGTTGGTGACCCTGCACACAGCAGGGGGTTTGAAACTAGATGATCACTGTGGTCCTTTTCACCCCAGGCCATTCTGTGATTCCAGTCCATTTCATTTGATTCAGAGCTTGAAAAAACAATAGATTTGGAAAACCAGTTGAGGTATTTGATTTTGTAAGCATTGGTTTTATGCTGGTCCTGCAGTGATGTAACAGGAAAACTGATTGCAAGGCTTCAGCATAGTGCCTGTGCAAACGTGCTGTCAGGATTGCCTTTATTCATTGCTGTTGTCAATAATGGTTATTTTGCATTCAGTTCTGGATGAAAAGCTGCAGAAATCCATAGCCATGTTGGTCTTTCACTTTAATAAACTCCTTGCCTCTGGGAAAATAACTTGCTGGCAGCTTTTCTAAAGCAAAACCATTACAGTAGAGCAATTACCAGCTGCCACATGGCCTGTGTGCTGGTGCTGAAGGCTGAGGATCCGGGGCAGCAGGGCAGCAGGTAATTGCAGCAGCTGCTCCACACCCTCAGTGATAAGGAGGAACCAGAGCTCCGAGGTCGTCTTTGCCCAGCAGTCAAAAATAATGGCTGTGATAAGAGCAGACTTCTCACAGGTGTGACCTCTGTCTCACTAATGAAGCAGTCATTAAGCTGCAAAGTTCTCCTAATCCATTTGAACAAGAAGCATTTGTTTTTCTGATGGAAGGCTCCTCTGGGATGGGGAATCTCTGTGTTGGTCACAAGCAGTGTCTGCAGGCAGGGCCAGCCGTGGTGGGAGCCTTCACCTGTGTGTTTGCTGATGTTCTGAATTAAATCTGGGGATTTTGTGGAAAATCTCGAATGTGAGGTCTAATTTAATAAAGCTCTTCCACCAAGGAGATTTTTGTTCAGTACAGCTGCTCTTTGACATAGGGAAGATCCAATTGGTGGCTTTTAATTTAAGGAAAATTATTATCCAGTGGTTGGCAGTGTCCCAGTATAACATTTAAAAGATGACTGATGTGAAGTTAAGGTATCCACTGTGTACATGTTCACCTGCAAAGAGTTTTTCCTTTTTAATGTTCTGTTAATTTTTTTCCTTCCTGCTCCACTTCTCTCCCAGTCCTACGAAGACCTTGTCCAGAGGCTGGAGCCAGTAATTATGGAGCTGGAAAGGCAGGAAAACGTGCTTGTCATTTGTCACCAAGCTGTCATGCGCTGTTTGCTCGCATATTTTCTTGACAAGCCTGCAGGTAAGTTTTCCTTCATGTGTTACCAGTGGTCTGCTTTACTAAGACAGTCTGAAAATCTGCTGATAAAGGTTCAGAGCAGTGACTTCAGCTGCCCTCTGATGATACAGGAACTTGTACTGGGCAAATATGTGTTTTCATATTTGATCTATTCATGTGACCTGATGGGTGATTTTACTGAGCTGCTTCTCACCTGGAATGCTGTAGTGTTTGTTTTTCTCCTTTGTTTTAATAGCATATCTGTTGTATGCAAGGAATGAAATAGGTACCGTGTCAGACTTGTAAGTGCTTGGCCTGGCACTTAATAGAAGAGTTAAAATGCCTGTTATCTGTATGTCATGTGTAATCCAGTGTTTGATTTCTCAGAACAACTGCCTTACCTGAAGTGCCCACTGCACACTGTCTTAAAGCTAACCCCAGTGGCTTATGGTAAGTAGTGTTTCCAAAAAGTCTAAATGCAGCATTGCTAATGTCTGTCTTGTCTGTAAAGGTTGTGCAGTATTTAACTTAAAATGTTTATTTTAGTATAAAAGAGAATGAAACAGGCTTGACTCTGTGTGTGTGCCCGTACAGCCTTGTTAGAATCTGTGAATCCTTTGATTTCTGTTTGCTTTGTGTTATGCCAAAAAATGTGTCTTTATTTAAACCCTGAAACTGCCAGTGATTGAAATTGCTAATGGATGCTTTTCTTGAGTATTTGTTCATATGCTATTTGAATGATTTTTCTGGCAAACTCCTGCCACTTCACCCTACTCCAGTAAGATCTCACTTCTTATGGATGTCTTTGAAGATCTTGCTTGTTAGAAGACAAGCAAACTTAATTACATGTACGTTTACCATCGTATGGAGGATGTTATCTGCACCTTCCAAATATCTGTGCTCTGTTTTCCTGAAATATTTGTTCCTGAACCTTCACACCACCACATGAACGTTCCTCGTTTGTTTTTGCTGGCATGTTTCTTAGCAGCTGCTCTTTGTGCTGAGCTCAGGGGTTCAGGTGGGATTTGTTGCCAGCCTGTAGAACGCAAGGTGTGGGTTCCAGCATGTGGGTTCTTACTGCTTTTAGGCTGATAGCTAGGGACATTTCGTGTGCTTTTCCACCCCAGCTTAGCACACGTCTGCTGTGATTAGGTATCAGAAGATACAATTAAGCCATCTCTTCTTTAAGAGATACCTAATCACAGATCAGGAGATTACAGACCAAGAGGAGTACCTGCACAATTTACCCAGGAAACAGATGGCCAGAGGAGGTTGAGTTATTCTCAAAGTCAAAGCTGCCTTTGGTTATCAGCATCAAAAAATAGCAGTGTAGAAGCATACTTTGGTTTGGTTTTAGATTCAGATAAAGTAGAGGCAGAGTAACTAGCTGCTATGCTAGGAGATGTCAGAAGAGGTTTTTGTCACCCCTGCAGTAAGTGCTGTGGTGACATCTGGTGTTCCCAAGCTCGCATGACAAGCTGTGGTTCAGGACATGGAGTTGTAGAATGAGAACAGTAAGAACAGCGAGCACTTTTGAAAGATGAGGTCAGTTCTTGGAAACTGGCTTCTTTCAGCTCAGTGGTCATGGACTGTTTCCACAGTTGAGGGTTTGTGTGGTGGTGTGGTTTGGTTTTGGTTTGTTTGTTTTTGTGGGAAGTTTGGTGACTTTGTTGGCAAGCTTGAAGAGGGCCTCTGTGTTTTCATAGAATCACAGAATGGTTGGGTTGGAAGGGAGCTTTAAGATCATGTAGTTCCAGCCACCTGCTGTAGCAGGGATATCTCCCATAGCCCAGGTTGCTCACAGCCCCATCCAGCCTGGCCTGGAGTACTTCCAGGGAGGCAGCATCCACAACCTTGCTGTGCAGAGATGGCTGCTGGCACACACTGAGGATGAAGAAGTGGTGTGAAGGGCTTCCCTTGGCCTTTTGCCTTCACCTACAGAAGGACTAGGACACTTCAGTCAACCTGCTTCCTAGAATTTGACCATCTCAAAGTACAAGGGCTGTGTAAAACACTCATGAACTGCTACCTCTATAGAATCATTTCAAGCTGAGGCCTCCCTGGCAGCCGGGGGGGGCAGGGAGAGTGGTTGGCTGTGGTGTGTTCCACTCCTCTCAGCTAAACACGTTGTGGGGAAGCATCTCCTTTAAGGGATTGCTCTTCCTGGTACTGGAGGCTCGTGGTGTGTGATGTGTAGATGGGGAATTGCTGTGTCCTGATGGCTGGATGTTACCCAGCAGTCCTCGGCGTGCAGCGTGTGTGCAGAGGGGCTGAAGGGCCGGCAGATGGTTTGTGTGGGAGCACACAGGAGAGAGAGGCTGCACCTTGCTGTAGGTATGGACCTTCTCACCAGTAATCAAAAACCAGTTAGGAATGTGCATGTCAGCAATTAACTGTGGAGAAACTGAGTGCCTCTGGTTTCTGTTGAGTGCAGGACGGTTTTTCTCAGACTGATGTCAGCTCTGGGTAAGCAGTCCTTAGCAATGGCCAGCATCAGAGATCAGTGTTCTGTTTGACTGCGGGCATCTATCAGCAGAAGGATGACTGGGGTGCTCTCCCACTATGAGAAATGCACTTTTCCCTCCTAAAATCTTTTTTCTTGTCTGATATTTCCCTGAGTTGACCTTCCTGCACTGTTTGCTCACAGTGTTCGTGACAAACAAAGTTTCTCAGACTCTGCTTTGCAGGGAAAGGCAAATATTTGCCATATTCCTTTGTGTCATTCTTTGGAAAGTGCGATGGCTTTCTAAGGAAAGGCTCAGGTTGCCTTTTTGTGGCACACAAGAAGCTTATGGAGTGTTAGGAATTTAGGAAATACGTGAACAGGAAACTCTGAAAACTTGATTTGCTGTTTGTGGCAGATGCTGGGCTCTGTTGCGTGTGCTGTGTCAGGAATTTCGCAGTGCTGTGTAGGGTGGCTGTGTAAAAGTGCTGGTGTGAGATCTGACTGCATTTGGCAATTCGATGTTTCAGTAGAAGTTCCCACAGTGTATTGAGTAATTATAATTTGCTAAGTGGGTCAGCCTGTTCTACCCAAATAACATGTAGTTGTGTCTTCTCAACATCCACACTTCTCTGGAATCACTGATTTATCTGTTTATTGTGAATAGAAGTTCCCCTCCAGAAGGAGGGCATGGCATTCCCCTCCGCTTGGGCACGAAAGTTTCGTTTCTGCTTTGCACACATGGAGGAATGGGGTTTATTAATGACATGAAGTGGAATCATTGCCACATTTTAAAAAATGAGCAGCATTTGTCTTCAGTACTGTTGTGTAATCCCAGTAAATCAGTGATGTTTAAACACGCACAAAATTACAGTGATCTTCTTGATGGGATGCTTTTGTTGGTGTGTGTTGGAAGATGAGAATTTGTGCTACAAAAAACAATGATAAAGCAATGGTGAGTCTAGAAGATAGGTTATCAGATTGAGAACAGTGTTTATCCAGGTGGAATGCATTCATTTCAGTAGCTTTAGCTGTTCAGAACTTGGGAAACTCTGGTATGAATCAGAAGAGGGAAGTGATTATCCTTCACAAACTCAAAATCAGAATCGTAGATCTGCATCTCTAAATTGCATCCTTAACATGACTTCATTTTTCCAAGCAGCCCAATTCTAAAAATGTGTTTTTTTATCAACAGGATGTAAAGTAGAATCTATATTTCTGAATGTTGAAGCTGTAAACACACACAGAGATAAACCTGAGGTAAGAATGGGTTTTTTTGTTTGTTTTTTTTTTTGAATGAGAGATAATGTTTTGATCTTGGCTGGTTTCCGTGTCCTTGTGGTTAGAAGAGATTTTGTAACTGCTGCCCATATTTAATCTTGCACATCAAGCTTTTCAAGGGTGGAAAAATACTTCTACTGAGCACAGTATCAACCCAGAAACTGTATGAAGTTCTCCAGTGTTGTCATTCAGCAGAAGCAGAGCGCGGGCACAAAATGCAGTTAGGAATGCCATGCTTATTTTGGAGAGAGCCAGTAATGAAGTGATAATCCTCTTCTGAGACATCAGAGTCGTCAGCTGTTCCGTCACGGAGATGCACGCTGTGTGCTTCACAGAGCCTTGGATGCTGCTGCCATGGTGGAGGCTGAGGAGGGCTCTCAGGGTACAGCAAAACAATGGGGAAAGGGAATTGAGTAAACTTGGAAAATCTCCGTGGGGATGGGATGGCAGGCTGTGACAGTTTGTACTCTCCCTTTGTGGGCCTCACTGACGTGCACTGAGGTTGGTTATGCTGCTTGCACAGACAGAGCAGTTCCTTTGATAGTCCCTTTCAAAGGTTTTCTAGTTCAACTTTCCCATTGCTGCATTATGGAAGTTACAGAGTCACAGAATGGCCAGGGTTGGAAGGGACCTCAAGGATCACGGAATCACAGAATCACAGAATCGTAGGGGTTGGAAGGGACCTCCAGAGATCATCGAGTCCAACCCCCCTGCCAAAGCAGGATCCCTACACCAGGTCGCACAGGTAGGCGTCCAGGCGGGTCTTGAATATCTCCAGAGAAGGAGACTCCACCACCTCCCTGGGCAGCCTGTTCCAGTGCTCCGTCACCTCACCTAAAGAAGTTCTTGCACACATTGGTGCGGAACTTCCTATGCTCCAGCTTCTGGCCATTTCCCCTTGTCCTGTCTCCGCACACTGCTGAAAACAGTCTGGCCTCATCACTCTGCCCCCCACACCTTAGATATTTATAGACCTGGATCAGGTCCCCTCTCAGTCTTCTCTTCTCAAGGCTAAACAGACCCAGATCACTCAGCCTTTCCTCATAGGGGAGATGCTCCAGGCCCTTCACCATCTTTGTGGCTCTCCGCTGGACTCTTTCCAAGAGATCCCTGTCTTTTTTGTACTGGGGAGCCCAGAACTGGACACAGTACTCCAGATGAGGCCTTACCAGGGCAGAGTAGAGGGGGAGGATCACCTCCCTCAACCTGCTGGCCACGCTCCTTTTAATGCACCCCAGGATGCCATTGGCCTTTTTGGCCACAAGGGCACACTGCTGGCTCATGGCCAACCTGTCGTCCACCAGGACACCCAGGTCCCTCTCCGCAGAGGGACACAGCAGATCACAAAGCTCCAACCCCTGCCACATGCAGGGCCACCAACCTCCTCATTTAATACCAGCCCAGGCTGCCCAGGGCCCCATCCAACCTGGCCTTGAACACCTCCAGGGATGGACGGGGCATCCACAGCCTTTCTGGGCAGCTGTTCCAGCACCTCACCACTCTCATAGGAAAGAATTTCCCCGTGATGTCCAACCTAAATCTCCCCTCCCTCAACTTCCAACCATTGTCCTGCAGTTATCCACCCTTTCAAAGAGTTGATTCCCCTCCTGTTTGTAGGCTCCCTTTAGGTACTGAAAGGCTGCAATGAGGTCACCCCGCAGCCTTCTTTTCTCCAGGCTGAACAAGCCCAGCTCCCTCAGCCTGTCTTCATAGGGGAGGTGCTCCAGTCCCCCCTCTCCAACAGCTCCCTGTCTTTTTTGTACCCATAGTGTGTTGTGATTAAAATGTTCTGGTTCCCTCGCAGGTCCTGGTGCTGATGGCACTGAGAATGGCAGTGGTTCCTGCTGAGGCTGAGCCATGCCTTCTAGTGAATTAAAAGTCAGTTTGATAATGTGAGGAAAAAATGCTGTGGTGGTTTTCAGAACAAGAGCTTACAGTGAGAAGGAATGAAAAGATAAATGTGTGCAGTCTCACGACACAAAGGACTTCACTTATACGTGGGCACACATTTGTGGCAGTTGTGCAGAAGTGTTGGAAGGGTCTGCAAAGATGTTTTGTTTTAATGACTCAGCACTGAGTTCTGGAAATCCTGACTTTTGGCCGTTCATAGTCAAGATATTTCCATCAGGTAGTTGCATTTCCTTTCTTCCTTCTCTTTCCTCCTTTATCTTCGTGCTTTACCACATCCGTGTCCTTTTGTTTGTTAGCTTCAGGAAATCCATTCTCATTTCATGGTGCCTTAAAGCACGGTGAGAATAAATGAGGGTGTCTTAGAGCATTACTGTTGTGTGTGTTGAATTATGTAGGTCAGTTTAACACGTACAGTTTGTCTCATGAAATACTGGTGCTGAATTTACAGCTTGCTGAAGTTCCTTAGGAATGACTGTTGGAAATACCACTTGGTGTTAATCTCGGAGGAAAGCTGTAGCTGTGGTTGGGCAGTGGTGTGGTCATGCTGGAAGTGGTGGGTGAGCACTTCAGGTGCACACAGAGGATTGTGCAGAGTGGCATTGCTGCCTGGACACCAACACAAAGCTGTTTGGTTTAGAACGAAAATAGATGGGTACAGCAAACAAGGGAAAGAGCAGAGATGTGTTTTGGGTTCTTCCACAAAAACATTTGTCCCTGCCCTCCAGAGAAACCCAAACTGGTTCAATATGGGTGGTGATATTCGTTAGTATAACTGGTTAAAGGGCTGAGCTGGGCCTGTCTGCATTTGGATGTTGCTCAGAGGGCTGTGGATGTTTCAAAAGCTTTCATCTACATAACCTACAGAAGTGCTAATTGTTTCTGTCAAACAAATTTTTCAAATACTCTACTGAAGGCAAAGCATTTAATGAAGCGTCGCGTTACAGATCTCAACACCACTCAACAAAGAGGCCGTGATGAAGAATTGCCTGCTGTGCTGTTCTGTGCTCCCACAAGGAATCCGTAGCCCTGCCCGCAGGACAGCGCGCTCCTTATCTGCTGCAGCTAAGAGCTGTGCTTTCACCCTGCTGCAAAGTACTGCCGTGTTTGTTTATGGTGTCTGTGGAGCTCGTTGTGTGGGGTGATTTGTCTCCAGTGGATGAAGCCTTGTGTTTGTTGGCATTGCAGTGGCTGACCTTCTCAGAGGAAGGAGTCCAGCCTGCACTGAATACAAATCAGGGGCGTTGCTGGAGCTATTGCTTGGCTCCTCTTTTTGGTCAGAAAACAAGCGCTGGGGTAAAACATCTGCTTTGTGCTTCTGCCTTAGGTGGTGAGCGCGGGTAGGAATGCTACTTCCAGCAAGGAATCCAAATCCCCTTTTTCCTTTCCTTTTCGAGGGAGGAGATGAGGTATTTCTTACTGACTTTGCCTAGCACAGGGTGAAAGGCATAAAGCCTGCAGAGCGTGTTAAGAGAACTGGCGAGGCATTGTTCAATGGCCACGTTTTTAATCCACACGTTAGAAATACTCAGCACAGTTCTCACCATCTGCGTTAGTGGCTGGAAGGAGAGCACCTCTTGCCCATCTGTGGGTCTCTCACAGGGCAGTGCCATGGCAGGCCGGGCTCCTGAGACTTGTTCAGCATCAGTGCTGCGCTTCCTTGCACAGCAGGCAGTGGAAGGTGACGTGATTGGTGGCTTTGTTGGCCTTACTGCTGCGTGATAAATGCTCTCCTCTGTGTTTCTGTTGCTATACAGAACGTAGACATTTCCCGGCGTCCCGAGGAAGCCCTTGTAACAGTCCCTGCTCATCAGTGAAGGCCGTGTCCCAACCAACTGTCCAGCTGGGGTGCCATTTTCATCTGCTGCTTCAAAATAAATCGAAATACTAATTATTCCAATCGCCTTGAAAGAAAAAGTAACGATGTAAAAGCAGGGATGTAAAAACACCAAAGCCAACAGTTCAAAGCCCGGAGTGAATCTTTGTACAGTGCATGGCTTATTGATCACAATAAAACCGTACTGCCCTGCTTCGTTTATTGCAGATGAGTTGTTGAACAGTAATCAGCTGTCACTGGAGCGTTGCTTCTGTAAATCGCTGTAATATAAAGATGCTGCAGCATTGACTCTCAAAGCTGTTAGCTATTAGAACAGCCAGTAAGCATTTAACGTCAGCTGAAGGGGGTTTGTCTGGGAGGGCTGTGAAGCACACGATAAGTTTGTTCTCTGGGCACCACTGTTATCTGTTCCAGTGCCTTGGGAGCAGTTGGAGTGCTCTGTTGCACCAAATAACAGTTTGTAGTTGCTGGGCAGCCTTAATCCTGCTCATGTGCAGTGCTGAAGCTCTGCATGCGCTCACCAGTGGAGAACAGTGCAAGTAATGCCACAACTGCTAGTGAAGGTGCAGGAGTGTGTGCAAGTGCTTGCAGCTTCCTTTAGCAGCTGTTGTGCATTAATGAACCTTGGGAGCAGAAGTGCCTTTCCATTCCTTTCAATGAGAAACCAAGAGTGGAACAATGGATGGTATTTGCTCTGCTGAAACGGGCTGCTGTGTGAGCGCCTGGTGCTGCCTTGCTGGCTCTGTGGAGCACACAGGTCAGTCTCTGCTGGGAGAGATGCTGAGCCGTGCAGGGGGCAGAAGCAGTTATTTCTGGTTGGGCTGTGGCTTGCCCTGCAAGGCGTGGAAGCAGGAGGCTTTTCCTCCTCCAGTAGGAGCGTGATCTCAGAATCAGGGCATGCATCCTGAACTTGGTTCCAGCAAAAGCTCTCACGTGCTGGACAGACTGCAGAGCTGGGATCCTCCTCTGTGTTGTGACCGTGATGTCATTGGTGATTTCACAGATTTCACAGAATCATAGGGGTTGGAAGGGACCTCCAGAGATCATCGAGTCCAACCCC